TCAAAGTTTCAACCCCGATCTTTACAGCAATTTAAAGATTAGAGTACCTCACATTCAAGTAGAGGAGCCAAGTAAAAAAAACAATGTATAGTAATTAAAGGAACTACTCCAAGATTTTAAACTTTTTTTTTTAGAGTGAGAGAGGAGAGAGAGAGAATTTTTAATATTTATTTTTTAGTTCTCGGTGGAAACAACATCTTTGTTGGTATGTGGTGCTGAGAATCAAACCCGGGCTGCACGCATGCCAGGCAAGCGCGCTACCGCTTGAGCCACATCCCCAGCCCTGATTTTAAACTTTAAGACATCTTATAAACATTATTTATACTGGTTTCGGCTTTGAAATTATCAAAATTGAAAACCAAAATTGAAACATTAAAAAATAAAAGGAATGATTTTTCAAAGTTGTAGTTGGACACAATATCTATCTATCTTTCTTTCTTTCTTTCTTTCTTTTTATGTGGGGCTAAGGATGGAACCCAGGGCCTTGCACGTGCTAGGAGAGCACTCTACCCCTAAGCCACAACCCCAACCCTGAAAAATTATTCTTGACAATGTAAATTGTAGGTAAATACTCTAACATTTTACTAGTATCTATAGATAGAATGAGGATTTTTAAATCTTGCAGCAAAACAAACCGGTTTATTGAAGCCTATATTTAAGGCACACTTTAGGTTTAATAATTATTAGATTAGTTTAACAAACTTTGTTAAGTACATGTTCATGGTACAAAAAATGAAAAAGAAAAAAATGTCACCAAAACTCCCATCACATGGTATATATATCTCAATATTATCTCTTTATACTTAAATGTTTACTTTCAAATTCTTTACAAACTCAGGTTTTCTCTTTAGCAATTTTTTTCTAGTTTTAATTTGTTCTTCTTATACATTGTCATGTATAATTAAAATAGAATAGAATGTATTTTSACATATTATACATATATAAAGTATAACTTCCCATTCTTTTGGATGTACATGATATGGATTTATTCTGGTTATGTATTCATATATGAACATTGGAAAGTTATATCCAATTCATTCTACCATTTTTTCCCATTCCATTCATCTAATCCAAGGAATTTCTATTCTTCCCATCTCACCCCTTACTGTATTAGCATCTGCATATCAGAGAGAACGTTCAGCCTTGAAAAACAAACTTTTAATAAAACAAACTTTTAACAAGATAAAATAAATTAGTAACAATTAATTCATAAAATTCTCAAAAGAATAAGTGGAGTCTTGCTAAAGATAACAAAAACTGGGTTATACTAAAGGCAATTGCAACTCATAATTCCATCATGTATATTACCCTATAGATCAACTACCAAGTTATTACCTTTCATTTTTGAGTGCGTGTTAATCAATGGATCAGAACAAATCCTGCAGGGCCACCATGGGCGTCTCTTGAATTTTGCCCAAATGAGATCTCCAACTTCATACTTCAGTGGTGTAGACTTTTTCTTGGGTTGACACTTTAAATAGAGAAAACATAGATCATCAGTAAAAATCAAAACCTTCTGAGACAGTATTATCATCTTACTATTAACCTTCAAAATAGGCAACACCTAAAAAAATTCAGACAAAACCGCCTGGGCCAGGTAACAATGATAAAATAAAACTAACTTACTCTGCCATATTTATTCACAATATAGCCCTTTCACAGTCAAATTCTCAATTTATATTTGGTTTACTAAACAACTCTATTTACAGACTTACAAGTAAGCTGTTTTGATTTAGAACAAAAAACTGAAATAGCCAGGCACAGTGGCTTGGGGAAGTAGCAGAAGGGCAGAGGATGTGTCTTACTAAGTGGTTAAGTGCCCCAGGGTTCAATCCCCAGTACCTTAAATGAATAAATAAAAGCTAAGACTCTACATAAAATCTCATAGAATGTTTTAGGATGCTTCTAAATACTCATAGAAGTTAAATCTCATTGGAAATACTATGATTAGTTCTGCCTGTATACTACAGAAGTACAAGAAAACTAGATAGGAACTACTTTTTTTCTATTTGCAGTACTAGCTGTTGAAACCAAAGGTATTTTACCACTGAGTTACACCCCCAGCCCTTTTATTATGAGGCAGTCTCTAAATTGCCAGGCTGGCCCCAAACTTTGAATCCTCCTGCCATGGTATCCCAAATCACTGGAATTATAGGAATGTCCCGTTATGCCCCACAGGAACTACATCTCATTTTCTTTTAAAAAGTTCTGAGGAAGCCCTGGGCAATGGCATGCTACTGGAAGAGGCTGAGGCAGGAAGCTTATAAATTAAATAAAAAAGAACTGGGGATGTAGCTCAGTGATAAATCATGCTTAAGTTCAACCTGGAATACAGGGGGTGGGGGGGATTAAAGGTCTATTTGTTAACATTATCAGTTCAGAAAAGTATAACTTCAAWACTTCTTGACTTGGAGCTGGGGTTGTAGCTCAGTGGTAGAGGACTGCCTAGCACATGAGGCACTGACTAAGCTCAATCCTTAAACCTCCACGTAAAAATAAAGGTATTCTGTCTAGCTACAACTAAAAAAAAAAAAAAAAAAAACTTATTGACTTAAAACCTTAAAATAAAGAATAAACGAGGGGTGATACTAAATGAGAAAACAAATATTTTATTTGCCTATATTAAAAACTACTATGGGGGGGCTGGGGTTGTGGCTCAGCCTACCACGTGCAAAGCATTGGGTTCAATTCTCAGCAACACATAAAAATAAATGAATAAAATAAAGGCACTGTGTCCAAATACAACTAAAAAAATAAAAAAAAACAAAAAACCTACTACCTGACTAGGTCCCTATGAATTTCTGACATAATTTGATGTGTGGTTAAATATAATTTTCAGTTACTGAACAATATGGGACTTGTTTATTCAAGTCCTAAATGACTTAAAGTTAACTAAAACTTATTGATATTTATTGTGTCAAGCACCCAGTTCATCTTCACAGGTAAAGAATATTATTACCCTATTTACCATATTCCYTATTATAACATTTATTTAGTAGCAGTCCCAGGATTCAACTTTGGCCAGTTCAATTCCACAGCTCAAAGCCTTAAGCCCTACCATATCATCCAATAACAATAAACCCCACTATAACTACTGTACTCTCTAACTTTATTATAATATACACACATATATGCACCATAATCAATCTAGAACATGGTATTAATTCCATCTTCCCCTCTACAACTATATAATTAGAAGTACAGCCATAAAACACATGTGTCCAATAGAGAAGAAAAACTATGAGTGGTTATCAGGTCAAGCCAGTAGCCAAAATTACACAACCAGACAAAGCAGCAATGAATGTTTTCTTCTGACTTCATCACAAATTATGCCACCTTAAATAAATCGGTTTAATTCAGCTTCAGTTTGCTATGCCATAAAAACGGGAAATTTAGGGCTGGGGATGTGGTTCAAGCGGTAGCGCGCTCGCCTGGCATGCGTGCGGCCTGGGTTCGATCCTCAGCACCACATAYAAACGAAGATGTTGTGTCTGCCAATAACTAAAAAATAAATATTAAAAAAAAAAAAATGGGAAATTTAATCTACCATGAACCATGAAATGAAAATAACAGTTCAACTCCTAGTATTTTAACTTAAGATAAAGGAACAGATGAAAAAAATATTTGAAGTGGTTTGATATGAAATCTACACAATATGGAAGTACAGATGAACTCATGACACTGAAAATGTAATACAAAGTTACATACAAAATTTACATTTTTTATGTGGCTCTATATTTAGAAACTACTTTGGAAGCTATAATAATTATCGAAAAAACAGGCAGAGTGCTGTATACCAGTTATCCCAGTGAACTGGAGGCTCAGGCAGAAGGAGGAAAAGTTGAAGGCCAGCTTGGGCTACTTGGTGAGAACCATCCCTGCCCTGCCACCCACGGGGGGGGGGGGGGGGGGGGACCTGAAGATGTAGCTCAGTGGTAGAACTCTTGCCTACCCAGTACCACCTCCCCCATCCACCCAACCCCCAAAAAATAGAGAAAAAAATTATTTGCCTGCTTTGCAAAAAAAATAATAGAGACTAGTCCTAGGTACTATTTCTCTTTTCAATCTTGTATTTCACCATTCTCTACCACAAAAGATTTATACTACACTGTCCACAGCTCCCTCTTACAGGTTGCAGTTGTTATTTTTCCATACCCTCTCCACTTAGCATTCCTTTATTACTCCCAGGTACCCTCAGAGAAGCCTTCTCATCATTTCTTTGATCAAGTGCCTCTTCCCTATACTCTATACTTTTTTTAGGGGGGTGGGGGAGAGTGTGTGTGGTGCTAGGGATTGAACCAAGGCCTTGTGCATGCACAGCAAGCACTCTACCAACTGAACTATATCCCCAGCCCCAAGAGAGTTTTTCTAAGTTTGCTTGGCTAGCAGTCCTCCTGCCTCAGCCTCCCAAGTTGGTGGCATCAAAACATGTACAACCAAGCTGGCTTACTCAATGCCTSTTACCTCATCATTACACTGAATTATCTATTCATCTATTCCACCAGTCTCTAAACTACAAGGACAAAGTATCAATCGCCTTTAGAAATGCGACCATTTTCTAAAAAAAATATTGTGTCCAATAAAATAACATCTAAATGAACCAAAATAAACAACAATGAATCATTTCCTAAAGAGGCAGAATTAGAAGCCTTACTATATCCACTGAAACATCTATCAAAAAGTGTAAGGACCTTTGTCCACAAAACTCTTGTCTTTAAAAAGATAAACGAGACATTAAATACATTCACAATAAATGTCTTGACTTCTAAGATGGCTAACAGATGGAGACAGAACATCAAAATTTAGTCACAAGTCAGATGTGGTGGCACCTGTCTAAAATCCAAGCAACTAAAGCTAAAATAGGAGGATCCCAAGTTTGTGGTCAGAGTTGGCAACTTAGTGACACACTGTCTCAAAATAAAAAGAGCTGGGATATAGTCCAGTGGTATAGTACCCCTGGATTTAATCCTTAGTACTGCCAAAAAAAAAAAAAAAAAAATTAACTCAAAGGCTATTTAACTGCACTTCACTATGCATCCTTCAGATTAAGAATTATTCTCCTAGGGCTGGGGATGTGGCTCCAGCGGTAGCGCGCTCGCCTGGCATGCGTGCGACCCGGGTTCGATCCTCAAGCACCACATACCAACAAAGATGTTGTGTCCGCCAAGAACTAAAAAATAAATATTAAAAAAAAAAAAAAAGAATTATTCTCCTAGACACCCTAATGGTAGAACTCTCACCATTCAAAACAAATATTTCACTACTGTACAGTAAAAGTGTTTCTTTCCCAAATAATTATTCATCATGGGGGCAGGAAATACAGTTCAGTCACCCAAGTATGCTATCAAGTTTGAAGTAACCCTACATTATAGAAAGCTCACTAATCAATATTACTCAAGCTGGGAATGCAACCAGTGGCAGAGCACTTGCTTAGCACACGTGAAACCATGGGCTCAATCTCCAGCACTACCAAAACAAACAAAAAACAAAACTCTCTTAAACCTCTGTTGGGTTTAATTTCAATCTTTCCAAGCACAGATAAAAACAAATCCACTTCTAATGGTTTGTGACTGTGACATTTCCAGCAATTTTTTTTTTAAGAGAGAGAGAGAGAGAGAGAGAGAATTTTTTAATATTTATTTTTTAGTTTTCGGCGGACACAACATCTTTGTTGGTATGTGGTGCTAAGGATCGAACCCGGGCCGCACGCATGCCAGGTGAGTGCGCTACCACTTGAGCCACATCCCCAGCCCATTTCCAGCAATTTTTAACACGAGCATTCATTAAGCAGGTGTTAAATGCTTTAAAATCATTCTAGAGTCTTCAACTCTCATAGATTTCTCCATAAAAACAAAGAAAAAAACAAAATAACAACATACAATATTTCATTAAAATCAAAAATGTTCATCTCAACCAAATCACACACTGAACTAAGTAAAATAACTACACTAAGTACAGTGATTTAGCAAGCTGCATYTGGGCACAATAAAAAGCAGATATTCTGTTGAACACTTAACATGCAATAATTTTATCTCATGACCTCACAGCAGTTTCTGAGTATAGGGCTAGGAAGGCAATCTTTTCATTCTGCAGATAAGAAAATTAAGACAAAAATTAATTTGCTCTCCCCTGATTCACAATAAGAGTACCAAAACACCAAAAGTCACAGTTCAAACCAGACTCTACTAAAAATGTTTTTCACGGTTGTACCAATCTAATTCCCAGAATATACACTTTCAGATCTGCTAAATCAGACTTTCCTTAAAAAAAAAAAAAAAAAAAAAAAAATCTATTTTTAGTTGTTGATGGACCTTAATTTTACTTATTTATATGTGGTGCTGAGAATCAAACCCAGTGCCTCACACACATGCTAAGCCAGTGCTCCACCACTGAGCTACAATCCCAGCCCCAGAATTTTCTAAAATTAGAAATCCCAGCCCCAGAATCCTAAAATTAGCAATTTATATGCAG